TTTTTTTTGGTAAAATGTCTTTGTGATCATGAGAATTGTTGCAGAGTTGAGAACACCTCAGTTGTGTGTGTAAGCCTCCTGCTAAATCTGTTAAGCACCGACAGGGAATAAATAAGTTTATGTGAGATTTTCATTTGATGTTGCATTACTAGATAAAAAGAAGAGACTTGATTACCTGTGTCCATAAATCAAATGTGATATCACTTTTTAAGAGATTGTATCCCAATTTTGAAATATTTATCCAAAGATTTTGGTCTATAATCAAATTTATGAAGTTGATATTTTCATCACAGATGCTTTTATATGGATTTAAATCCACAGAGCAACATTATACACTTACATTTTCTAAACATTCAACAGCATTCGTTTATAGTCCTGGTGCATGTTAGGCATTTGCTAGTTTGCCATGGATACCAAAAGATATAAGTATCACTGCCAAGGAGGGGTGAAATTCTGTCACTTAGATGTTCTCCCTTAGAGCCTCAAATATGGGTGCTCACTGATTGAGCCCAAGAATGACTGCCTCATTTAAAAAAGATACATAAAACTATGTTACATTTGTAGAATACTATATTATTATGTATTTAAGAATGATTTCTTGGGGCGCCTGGGTGGCTCAGTCGGTTAAGCGTCCAACTTTGGCTCAGGTCATGATCTCGCAGTCCGTGAGTTCGAGCCCCGCGTCGGGCTCTGTGCTGACAGCTCAGAGCCTGGAGCCTGTTTCAGAGTCTGTGTCTTCCTCTCTCTCTGACCCTCCCCCGTTCATGCTCTGTCTCTCTCTGTCTCAAAACTAAATAAACGTTAAAAAAATTTTTAAAGAATGATTTCTTAAAACAATAAGAAACCCAAACCATTCATGTGTAGTATGTATTATACTTAAAATTTTGCCAGGTATCTTGGTTTGCTTATAAAATTCTGTTTCCTGTTTCTCTCTCTCTTTTCTCTCTCTCTCTGTCCTTTGATTTGGTGCTAGGGGCATTTGTGGAATATCTGGAAAATATTTCACACTTCGATCAACAATTCAGTCTTGCAAAGTAGGATTTTGTACTTTACCAGTGACTTAACAATGAGTGGAATGGTAATCTTATTACCAGGGAATTTTCTATTTGGTTCGGTTGGTTTATCACTTTGGAATGTTACCTCATTTATTTTTCCTATCTACATAGTTTCTTACTACAATTATTAAATGTACATATAGCCATGAAAGTGCAAGTTCTCACAAGTCTTAGAGCTAAAACAAAGGCAACAACCACCCACCAGATAGTGGTGTTGAAAGGAAACGTAACCATCGCCACTGAGTACTGTTTCTTCTTGCTCATCTGTCTTCTTAAGTAATGTGGTTCACTACACGGATTAGGCACTGCAGGAGCGTTTTAGCAATTTTTAGTACTTTAGAGGGTTGAGAAGGTGGTGATTTTAAGCCCCACAGCTTATACTTTCTATTGGGTGAAGACAAAGTTCTCTAAAAAGCGATCAGCTATCACCGATAGCATTTGTTAGAACAGTATTTTCTCATTTGCAATTTGCTGCTCTAGCAATGGGAAGTTTCATGACCAAATGAATGAATATAAGAAGTGCTGGGTAAGATGAAGAGAATTTAAGGAGTTCTCTGAAAGAAGGGTTGGCAGCAGTTTCCTAATTTATTTGACCACAAAGTCCTTTTTTTCAGAGTATCTGGTAGTTTCTCTAGTCAGTGGAACACATTTTAAGAAATACAAAACTGATACCAAGTTA